TCTTCGGGGAAGACACGTGGCGGGCGTGTGTGGCAGCAGATGGACTGATGCAGCTTGTTGCCTTCGACTTAGGCCTTGGTGTATCTGGGGTTCGGCAGACAGACAGACATGTTGATTTATCTTGTGTTGCGTGTGAAATAGACATGTGCTATCAATTCACATGTGCATAAAGTGGTGATGCATTGCACATATTAATTAATAATTATGGATATTCATGTTTCAAGTCGCCGGGTAACTGCGCCATTTTCGTGCACTGTCCAACTGCACCCGAGGAAGGCCATTCCATTCCAGCATATCTGCCAAGCCACTGTGGCAGAGATTATTGACTCTCGTAATAGTGGAATGGTGGGTGATAAGTTAGTGCCATAAATAGCACATTTGACGGAGAATTTCCTGTAGTCTAGTGCTTACCTTGTTATTCCTGCTAGTAAGCATCCCGACCGGGCTTGCAGAACAGAGTTTGCTTTCACTTTGACAAAAGTCTAAACACGACCTACGCCTCTAAGGACCCCCTATCTGTGCTCGACTTTTTCGGAAATGCTCGGAGTCTACTATAGTACATACGAATGGACCACTTAGTCGAACGGAACTCCGGAACGCTGGATCTGCCTGAGCAGCGATTGGCAAAAATCTTCTCGAGCCTACGAAAAAGATGCCAAAGGGAGCCTGGCACGTGAGTAACCCAAAACGAGCCTTGCGAGTCGACTAATGTAGATTACCATTGGTTAAGCTCCACTAAATCGGTGGGCCCAGAGAGGCTTAGCCAGGAAAAAGCATGTTCAGCTTCTTCCCGATAGGGTCTGTCTGCCCGGCCGGACCCCGATCCATGCCCACTCAACCCGACAATCAACGGAACTCAGGGGACCTCTCGAGGGGTTCAGCCCTACTAGGCCGATTGTTCACCCACTTGACTTGCAACTCATTAGCAATGATCTTTTGGATTTTGACAGTGGTCTCATGTACCCCTTATTTTTCCGGCCCCCGATTAGCGGCGCCCGGCTTGATCCTAAACTGGGATCCACGTATGCACCGGTGCCAAAGATTCCTCCTAGTCGCTGATGTATTAATTAAAACACCACTTTAAAAACATGTCATCGCCCCCGGTCATGACGCGAGGCCCATCAGGTTCCGGCCTTGCATGTTTGCCCGCTGCCAACGTCATCCGTGCAGGCAGAAGCAATCCTCTGCACGGAACTTGCTCGGTCTATTCCCGCACATTACCCATGCTCCCTCGGTTGAATTCTTCGTTGCACATTGACTTGGGATGAGTCCAGGAAGCTGCTCTCGCACAACATGAGCCAATTTGCGGTTATCCGGAGCCAGCGAGGCTTTCGGATCATCTTCGCGGCTGTCGCAGTCATATTTGCACTTTCCATCTTTATGCTGCTTCCGCCTGCATCAACGACGACCAAAGTTCTCGGATTCGGGCAGGGACAGAAGCCCACGACCCAGTCATCTTCAGCTGAGGCTATCACGATAGATACTAGCCTTATCACCGATCTATCCCAATACTTTGCGGACTATCCCATCCAGAAACCCTTCAAAGAGAAGTTCGGCGAGCTAGGCCGCCGCAACCGAGTTCTCCGCGACTGGCTCATTCAAGCCGAAACCTCCCAGGACTCTACCACCAAGTCCATCTTACGCAACGCGATCGAAGAAGTCGCCATTGCGCAATATCCTTTCCTGCAACCTTCCAATAAGACTCAGTCCCACCAATCTAGATCTTCCCGTCACCCAGTACAAGACCTTCGCGCTTCCTTCGAGCCCGACTCTGCCGGTATCGTTATCCCAACCAGCGACCATACCCTCCGTTATGCCGCTCACCTTATTGCCTCACTTCGCTCTGTCCTCAACTCTACTCTGCCTATTCAAGTTGTCTACGCAGGCGATGACGACCTCTCCCCTACGAACCGGAACCACCTGTTGACTTTGGCTGCCTCTGGCCCCGCCATCACCTTCCTCAACATCCTCACCGTCTTCGATGACACAACTCTCAAGTTACAAACAGGCGGTTGGGCCATAAAACCCTTCGCGGCATTGGCTTCCCCTTTCAAGATAGTTATCCTTGCAGATGCCGATGCTGTCTTCCTACAACCCCCGGAAGCACTCCTCCAGCATGACGCCTTCGTCAACAAAGGCGCGCTTCTTTTCCACGATCGTCTCCTTTGGAAGCACGCTTTCGAGGGCCGTCACGAGTGGTGGCGGGATCAGATACGCCGACCTAGTAAGGAGATGGACGCCTCTCTTGTCTGGACGGAAGATTACGCCGAAGAAGCAGACTCAGGTCTCGTGGTGCTCGACAAAAGTAGGCCGGATACGTTCATGGGACTGTTGCATATCTGCTGGCAGAATACGTACGACGTGCGCGAGGAAACTACGTATAGGATCACTTACGGGGATAAGGAGAGCTGGTGGTTGGGGTTGGAGTTAGCTGGCGCCGAGTATGAGTTCTCGAAGCACTACGGAGGCGTCGTCGGGTGGGAGAATGTTGATGATAAGGAAAGAGTCGGTGTATGTAGTTTTGTGATAGCGCATGTGGATGCCAAGGGGCGGTTGCTGTGGTATAATGGCAGTTTGTTGAAGAACAAGGGACAAGTTGGTATGGAGGATGTCTATGAGGTTCCAGATAAGTGGATGATTGATGCGGAGTGGGTTAAAGGGGCGAGGAAACAGGACCATAGTTGTATGGTCGGTGGTGAGGTCAGGGAGCTTACGAGGGACGAGTTGGATGTGCTGCAGCGGTCGATTGCTGCCGCAAGGCAGGTGGATACGCTGGTGCGTACAAGTTGACCTTATACATATAGTTATAGATTTACGTTGCTACAAGGCTATCTCGGAGATTTAAATTCAGCGATATACCCACTGATTTTGCATGAATTCGAGCCTGTGCCTTCTTGCCGGCGTCGTCGTGACGATCGACCTGTTAAAGTCTGCTGTTACTTTTGGCTGTAGAAGTGCTAACTCCACAATACGACCTATGCCGACGTGACTAAGTGAAGAAAGCACATAGTTATTGTGTCATTCATCCCCTCTTATGCTTGATATTAAACAACCGAGCTAGTTAATTCATGTGCGTGAAGTTCAGGATCTGACTACCTATTTTAATGGAATGATTAATGTCCAGAGTTTTACTGCTCCATAACCCAAAACTCATGACATTCATAGAAGAGCATGAAGCTGACTTGCGCTTCGTGAATAACCAGCATCACCACAGTGTAACTCCATGCATGCCGTATTGAATCAATTACATCCCATCACCGTCCTTGCAGCTTTAGTCAGTAATTAAATACTTCTGTTGCTCTATATAAAGCCCGTCATCCTCCCTCTTTCTCTCCCCTTCTCTTCTTCCTAACCACTCATGGATCACAAATAAATACTCCTCAGTGCCCGAAGATACCCTCAGAACAATCTATTTCTCCATGAATTATCACTTATCATATATCTATCATCTGCAAACCTTAGCCAACACTTATTCTTTGAAACTACCTGCTTTCGCTGTTTGACACAGAAAAAGATCAGTTGCAATACCGACTTCAGTCGTCAACTGAGCCTCGTGATACCAAAGATATCTTGACACATCCCTCAGACGACCCTCAATCTTATTTTCCCTCCCTTATGGTGTCTAAGACTTCAAAATATGGGCAATATTCAGCGACCTTCGGGGATACCATGCACGGTATCCTTCAGACACGCATTATATAATTTTCATATGTGACAAGATCCGGGTCACGAGGCAACAAACAGCAGACACTTGAGCTCATGATACTTTCCGAAAATTAGAAGAGGAGTAAAGGCAAGTACGACTCTTCTTCGCTACCATCATGAGCTCTCATCTGTACTTTTACAGTGTCTAATTACTCCTAGACAGATATTATACGAATTAAGACACTCCTTGCGACGCACAACTAGTGAGACTGGTGTCCACAACAGACACAAGAGTCCTTTCATCTCATTCGGTCGATCGCCGTTATATACTGTCGCGGACACGTCGCTGGCGTCAGGGTTATACTATGATCTGAAAGCAAGAAGAACGCGTGCACTATCCTTCCAACGCTTTGAGAACGGTCGGCAATGCGGTACAGCTGCTGATCCATTACAAAGGTACCGAGCAGCTCGAGAAGAAAAATTGGTTTCATGTCGTCGAATGCGAGATTATATTGCCATGACTGGTACAATCATTATCCCTGTAACGGCCGACCATTATATAATCATCTGCCTCGACGAAATGGGATCTGCCGTTGGTCCGTCGGCGACGGCTCAAAAGAGACGGATCTCGCCGACAACACTTTACTCCTCATGCGTGTCTTGGGCGACTGGGTTTGGCTTCCCGTCTGCTCCGCTACAACAGATGCTAGTCCAGACAGGAACTTTCCGACAATACGATCTATCAGGGTAGCAGATTATGTCTCTCAGGGACCGTGCATAGCTATATACTGACTAGCAGCAGCGAGTCACCATGTTAGACGAAAAGGTCATTCGGTTGCTAAGTTCATTTGGTTATCGCCCTGCTGGGTCAAGACCTGATGAGTAAGACTTGTCCCAGTAAGTGCCTGTTTTCAAGCGTAACTCCGGCCTAAAGGAAATAGAGAAAGGGTCTTAGAATCTAATACTTTATTGCTGAGGTTGAGGTCCTCAACCAGGTCCCTCTAACCTTGTCATACTCTGGGAAATACCGTTGTACATGCAGCTTCTGCTGTTCAGACTTCGGACCATTTCACTGCTGCAACATATACTTTCTACTGACACGTCTAAAGATTTGGTGACTTCTATGTTGTGTTCCAGTTCAATGAGAAGAAGGGGGGATTCAACAAGAACTTCTATGGCCTCATTCCTTCGGCGCTTGGCGACATGTGAAACCAAGCTCCCAGATCGGTGTGACTCGAGATGAGTGGCGTCGTCTGTCAGTACACCAGGAAAAATCTGCCTGGCGGCTGCGATTTAAGCAACCTCTTTGCACTCTTTCGTCATCTTCCGAAGTGCAGGACAGAAGTCAGCTTTAAATGCAGTTATGGGTTGTGGCCATTGCTGGGTCAATGGTAGCTTGGGTAGGTCTTCCCTCCATTTCGGTATGGCTCCTAGCAAAGTTACAATAAAGATATGGCACGGCTTCTGAAAAGCAAAACCCTGGGGCTATTTGACTATAGGGAGACCAATCATAGTGTTAGCTACGGACTCTAACAGATGTTGATCCTCTTGTTTTCTGAACCGACAATATTCGGGTTCACACTCCCTGCTATTGATCGACAGCGAAGCTTGAACCGCGCATGTTCCTTCCATGACGCCGAGAGCGTCCCAGATACAGAACTGTTGATTTTAAAGCCCAAGATCGATGTCAAAACCCAGCAGCCAGGTAACTTTCAGCGGGTGAAAACAGCGACGGAAGTTGCTGGAGGAGAGTGAGAAGCTAGATGCGAAGAAGGAAGGAAACAATTATAACCTACTACATCGACTCAGTGCCTTGAGCGACTCAGAAGAAAACAGCAGAGCGTATTGTCACGCGTGCAATCCGACTGTGCTGAGAAACAAGTACCTTAACGTTCACAGTGTGGCCGGGATAGACTGCAAGACTGTCGAACGGCTCAATGATGTTACTCTCTTTGTTAGTAACATTGAGGCAAATAGAACTTTGGATGATCCGCCTTTGTTTCTGTTTCTGCTCGAAGTCCAAGTGCCCGAACCGTCTTTCGGGGCTACAGAACATACAAAATCGGGCTCACTGGCAACGGAGACCGGGTGATTCACTTTGTGAAAATCTTCACGATAGACCACAGGCCCGGGCCCAACCTGTTACTAATGGGCTACATGCAAATGGACCTAGCCACATTTGGTGAGTGTTTCTATGACAATCTGTTCTTCCATCTTCCAGATTTTTTAACATAGCATCCTACACAAATATCACAACTCCCTCCTATCACCCTCACGCATGGCCACCGATCCAGCCTAGGTGATAGAGAGGCAACAAGAATGTCTCTAATATTCGGGCCTTTACTTCCTCATTACACAAACAGCTCTCGCGAGGAAATTCATGAACACGTACACAAAGTTACAGTAACACTTTGCGGTTGACCCAAGCAGCGCGTCTTTTCCTGGTCATGCAGCAGATACAAGCCACTTCCGATGGATATCTAGCTTGAAGCAGCGATACTGTGTCTAAATCTCTCCAGAATACGCGTCAAAGCCTCCAGAACTGGCTCTGAAACGGAGATTGAGCCGGTGGTGCGCTTTTGCGGGCTTACGTGATAGGTCGGCAAGGGGGACAAAGATCAAATGCTTCTCACCGTCCATGTGCCAGTTTCGATATATTCGACCTGCATAATAAAGAGCCTATCTTCGTGACAGCGAGAAGTCGCTCTATATGGAATACCTCAGCGAATATGAACGAGTCACCTTCCCGATCCACTCTTTCCTACGGTTCTGACCTATCGTCATTCTCACGCGACTGCATCCCCCTAACCTTCTTTCTTATATTACATCGGTTATAAAAGTATGCCTGCTACCTGCTACTAGTTTGGCATTCCCGCCCTTCTCGATCGTGGCAACAATAATAGGTCGAATCAACGAGCAACGCAGGCGAACTTTTGGGGTGCTGTGGAGAACTAGACAACCTCGTCAGCTTTGATAGCTTGACTGTTCTCCTGGTTATTTCGAGGTCACAGGTAACATGCTCGTCGAGTCACAGGAGTCACATACATCGACTGACTCTTTTGAAGCCAAGCCATGGGACAATCTCCCCGACAGTCGACAACCGGATACAATGACCAGGCAAGCATCATTCTTACTCGCTTTACCTATAAGATAAATGAAGGAGTCAATCATGGCCTTAATATCTTTTCTTGTCATCAACTTTCACTAGAATTGGCGCACAAAATGCCTCGACATCTCGATTTGCGCAACATAAAAAAGCTGCTCTTGGTAGACAGCAAATCCAAACGTCAAGTTGAATCCGTCCTTGATTACCCCGTGCTCAGAGAGCATATTTACGACACATATTATATATTTCACCAAATGCGTGTCTCTTCCTACTACAGACTATTTCTGAGACCGAAATGTGTCATAAGCAAGCGATGCAGTCATCCATAACTATGCCACCGGATACTTACTAATATACCAGCACAGGATGCGGATCTGGAATTGCAATAAGAATACAACACATTTATCGGACGGCAGATCGACAATGAGTCTTATGAATTCAAACATTGAATATCGGCAAGGTCTCTCCCAAATTGAAGAAATAAAATCTAGTCTCATGCTCGTTCAACTGCATCCACCAGAGGAATGAATGAACAGCTAGGAGTCGCTGCTAAAGCTCAGCCTTCGTCTGTTCGGTCTGAACTTCCCCTCCGCTGAAGACAAAGTATATGCACCTCCACTTATTCTGAGGCCTTGTACAGAAACGATCATCATCGACAATCTTGGTTGCTTTGATGAAGAATCTTTCAGTCAGAGATCTGATCATCCCCTGACTGCTTCTGTCTATATCAATACCTCTTCAACAGATAAACACTCTAAGTGTGATAAGGCGTGCAGCTTATTTGTCAAAGCTTACAACCCGAAAATTGGCTAAAGCGGAGATCTAACAGCTAGGAAGGATGCTCAATTCCGAATTGTCGTTCTGTATAGTGAGGAAAAGCTGGTGTTGGGAGCTTCGAAGATATACGAGGACCTACTAGTCCTCGAGGAGTACGACTTGCAGTACGCACGCAAGCCCAACGAAGAACCATCGGACTAAGGGAGGTAAGAGGTGACACTCAAGCACTAAGACGATTCTCAAAAAACATAGATGCGAAGACATGGCACCCCGGCAGTGGCGGTTACCGAGTAAGGTTCGCTGCGCCAACGGCATGATGCGCATACAAAAAGAGCCTCGGAGACCATCTCTATGAGATGAAAATGCTCGAATCTTTCGACGATTACCCCGTGTATTTCCGTTAATGGTCCTGTGACAGATATCTACTCGCCTTCGTGGAGTCAATAAATGCGGAAGCTTCAAAAAATCCCATGGCGGTTGTTACTAAATCTCCTCCGCATGATTGAATAATCCTACACAACACCCATTTCGCAGGACGTGCCCCTAGCAGGGAGATTTTCGTCAAGAAGAAAAAAAGTTTCCGGTGGCTAGCTTGAATATTGTCTGTGCTAGTCGTCTAGGGACAATCTTCGATGATCTTCCTTAACCTGTCTTATGAGCAGGTATCTATTGCTATTGAACACCTTTGGATTACAGAGATAAGATATAGGGTATTATGATCTTTTCTCTTATACCACAGACAATTCTCGGCCCATTATTGGGTGTGATCGTGCATGACAAGCAGCAGTCAAATATACCGACGACGATGATTTACTGCGCATTATCAACGAATGGCGGTAATGCCTATCTTCACTTTCTCTGTCTCGATTCATCTGCCATGACCGCTCTGACATCCCTAGAACTGTGTTCCTGATTCGGCGGTACTGCCACATCGGGATAATGGTATGAGGGTTTATGACTTTCCCTATCAGAGAGCTGTATGGAAACCGCAGCCTAGTCTTGACAATGAGCAGTCGGACAATAACATTGCCTCAGAACATGTGAATTATTCAAGTCAGGTCCATGTGGAACGTGTTATTGATGCAAAGGGCTTTAAAACAGTTCAACTGCTTGAAGCAACATCATGTTGCTGCTGCCTGGGCTAACTTACTACTCGTCTCCTCTCTCGACTTGACCAGACGATATACCATCTTCATCCACACTTATGTCTTCTTCTTCGGGCATATACCGTCTTTCTCCATGTCTTGTAAACGACACATTCAGCAAAACCACATACAAGTTTCATCACCGAGCTATCAGAGAAGTACTGCTGGTATACGACAGGAATATCTTCAAGAGGGAATACTACGAACACACCGGTTCACACACTATCACATCGATTCTCCGAGGCAGTTTTACTTCGAAATCAGTGCAGAGCAAAGCTTTGTCTATGCAGGCAACCTACACCCTGGATTTGGGGATAGCACTCGCTATCTAGCTAACATGTTCACTATATATGGCTCTACAACCCATCTACAGCGAAGATGCCAGGTGGTGCCCCTAATTGAAGGGATAATGTTAACTTCCCTACGGTTGTCTATAGATGGCCCATGGCCTTGTGATTCACTGTGAGCTTAAACCGGGTTGATCGGCAGCTATAGATCCCCTGTCAAGGGTCCAGTGGGCGAGTACCTCTTTTCTGACTTGGTGGCTTGTAGAAGCCTCCCATATACATGCGATATGTCATGTCTGGCTACCAGTCAATAGAGCTGTCAGTTTGAAGCTTTGGCATTGTGCGTCAATCATCCTGTGATGGGCCCGGGGAAAACACTGAATGACAGAAGTTCAGCCATGATGATTGTCGAAAGTGACAATACCAGTTTCTAACAACCTCATTTCGAGCATAACTTCATATATGACCAAAATGAACGCGGAAGAGTGATTCCAGTTACAGCTGGGATAGCTGGAACTCCTTTAGGTTGTAGCCTAGGTAATGGTGAGTGACATACCGATGCGACATAATTTATATATCGGAAACCTCTAGGTTAGTGACCAAGAGTAACCTGTGAGAATAGAGTATAGCTAACAGAGCAGGAGAACGAATTGCCAAATACATGAGGCAAGCAACAGCCCATAAGGAGCAGCAGCTACATTATACCGCTGTTCTTGGACATTCTGCTATGGCGATGTTCCAGTCAAAGTATTGGGGTATATTATATTACGTCCTCTACAATCGCCACTCGAGCATAGCGTTCAATGGCTCGATCTCGATCAGCTGCTAAAACAGACAAAGCAAGCGATCACTATCATGGATGACTTCTTCCATAAATAAGCCCCTCCATATAAACTAGGACTGCGCACCCGATTTATGGGGTTTGTTGGTCCTCGGCATTGCCTTCCACAGAGATGATACTCAGCACCATGACTGAGAGGTATGGCTCTGCTTTTCGTCCACAGCAAATAAAGGCTGGTCATTACACGGAAATTCCCCTCATGAATCCTCCATGGCAACAGCGACTGGGCCATATGAATAATGGTTCGGAAAGCGTTCTACCAGGCCTCACGCTGAGGGGTGAAGATAACCGACCATTTGAAGCCGCGCATTATATTCGAAGCAATTCAGCCCACTCCGCAATCTGAAAGATATCTCCCTTTAGTCCAGGTCTCCACATGGTTCACTCTATCATTGAAGGGAAGGCTGACTCTCTTTGGACTGACTTCGTTCGTGGTCTGTGGTACATGATAATTAAAAGGATGAGTATGCATACTCTATGCTAAGTGGAGAGTTACAAAACTCAGGTACTCATATCATGGAAACAAGGGTGCGATCGCCGACCTCGAGTAGGTCTTTCGGGACAATCTACCTTGGTCGCTGAAAGCTGGAATCAGGATTAAAACATTCAAGACATCGAATGGACGTGCCAACTAGAGAATGGCATCGTCAGCCTTATGGTTTCTGAAGGGTAAGGGGTCGTGATCATAGGGCTGCTGAGTTGGCAGCGACTTAGGATGCTATATTGCAAGGCCCGATTTTGGAGGCCCATGAAGCACTAGCGAGGCGTGGGAGAAGAAAGAACCGAATGAACGATGTTTGAACCTGGGCCCAACTGAGAGTTGGCTTAGGTTGGCTTGTGGAATATTCCGGCGTGTGAGGAATGAGAGAAGAGGCAGACTACCGACAGGAAGGTGGAGGAAGATGCCAGAGATGTCGGTCGTTCCTAATAGTCCCGGCGCTAGGTTGGTTCTATTGGTGGCGTCCGACGCCGTTCATCAAGATATGTGAGCAGTATTTCTCCGGATCATGGGTCGAGTATATATCGCTCAGAGAAGAAAAGATCTACTGGAATCTTCCTCCAATGGTTTGGAGCGTCAAAAACCTACATATAACAAGAGCACCTATCTTTATTCACAAATGTCACAGACATAACTAGATTACCAACTATCTACAATCATAAAATACATATCATATGCCTCATGCTTGTTACATATCACATCGTAAAATACCTTCCTCCAATCTACTTCCTAAGCAAAGTAGCAGTCGTGTTGGCATGGAAGTCACGACTACTGAAACCAGCCTTGAAAGTAAACTCGCCAGCTGGGATGCGCCAATCCTGCGCCGTCACATCCCAGTAACTCAAATCTCTGCGCATCAGCTCGAAAGTCACCTTCTTGGTCTCGCCCGCCTCAAGCCAGACCTTCTCGAATCCACGCAGCTGGCTAGGCGGGGTACCCGCGGGCGCAGTATCAGGGAATCCGACGTACAGCTGTGGAATAGCGTAACCATCCACACTGCCAGTGTTGCTCACCTGCGCGGTGAGGGTGTACACGGAATCCCAGAGAGCGGGGTTACCACCAGGCTGAACAGCGCGCTGCTCCGGAAGGGCAGTCAAGTTCGAGGCCACAGGCTTAGCAGCGACCAGCTTGGTCAAATTGTAGGTAGTGTAACTGAGACCAAAGCCGAACTCATAACGGACGGGGATGTTGTGGGCATCGAAGTAGCGGTATCCGACTTCGAGCTCCTCGTCGAACCAGCTCTGCCAGTCGTAGGTACCGTTGGTAGCGACAGCGGTGGTGAGCGGAGCGTTGTAGTCCGATTCGTTGTAGGCGATCACATAGGGCAGCTTGGCAGAGGGGTTGGCGTCGCCGAAGAGGAGGTCGGCGATGGCGTTACCGGCTTCCTCACCGGGGTAGTGGGCGGCCAGGATGGCGGTGACGTTGGGGTGGTCGGCGAAGGGAAGGACATTGACACCAGCGGAGTGAGTGACCACGACGGTGTTGTTGCAGTACTTGGCGACGGCTTCGACGACGGCATTGCCGTTCCAGTCAAGGGTCAGGTAGGTGCGGTCGACATTCTCCTCGGACCAGGACTTGAGGAAGACAAGGCACACGTCGGGCTGCTCGGGGTTCCAGAGCTCGGGCATGGACTTCTCCGTGATGAGAGTGTTGTTGAGCCAGGTCTGCACCCGGCCGCCGTACTGGCGGGCACGCGTTGTGATGGCGTCCTGGGGAGTGGAGAGGTAGCTGAAGCGGCAGGTACCGGAGCCACCAGCGTTAGCGAGCACGCCGTATTCGAAGTCGGTCTGGGTGGAGGGGCCCTGGGTGTCGGAGCCGGCGTCGTTGCCGACGATGACGATGTTACGGGGCTTGCGCAGGGGGAGCGCGTTGCGCTCGTTCTTCAGCAGGACGGTGGATGCAGCGCCGTGTTCGCGGATCATGGCGCTGTTGTTGCCGCGAACGTCGCGGTTGGTGGGACCTGTGAACTTCCAGTCGTAGAGCCAGGTGTCAGGGGGTGAGTCGACGTTCAGGGGACCAACGGAGGCGTCGACGCTGGGGTAGTTCTTGTCTTGACCGAGCCAGAAGTAGGGCGTCATGATGCGCACGATCATGTCGTCGATCCGGTCGGTGGTGATGGTGCCGTTGTTGATGGCCTCGGTGAGGTTCTTGCCGAAGTAGGATCCCTCGGTCCACAGCTCGCCGTAGACGGTGAAGCCACCGGGCATGGTCATGTCCATGCCGCTCTCGGCGGAGGCGACACCACTGTGTGTGGCACCCCAGTCGGACATGACATAGCCTTGAAAGCCCAGCTCGGTCTTGAGGAGGTGGTTGAGGAGGTACGAGTTCTGGCACGAGTGGGAGCCGTTGACACGGTTGTAGGAGCACATAAAGCTGGCGACGCGGGCGCGGGCGGCGTTGGCGAAGGGCCACATGTAGATCTCGTGAAGGGTGCGGTCATCGAGATTGGAGGAGACGGAGTCCTGGATGTAGGTTGTGGCGTTGGCGTCTGGGGCATAGGTAGGGTTACGCTGCGTCTCTTGCTCGTTGGCAATAAAGTGTTTTGCGTTTGCTTGCACACCGGCGTCTTGGATACCGAGAATGGTCTCCTCCATGCAGACACCGGTCAGGTAGGGATCGGCCGCGAAGCCTTCCCAGGTACGTCCGTCATAAGGACTACGACCGAGGGGACCGCCGATGGGACCGAGGACGACGTGGGTGCCCTTGCCCTTGTGCTCTGTAGCCATGGCATAGCCACGGTCGTATAGCAGCTTACGATCCCAGCTGGCAGCGGCGGAAACACCGCTGACGAAAACGCTGGAATAGTCACCCTGCTGGATACACTGGGGACCATTCTGCAGACAAAGACCAGTGAAGTTGAGGCGAGGGATGGGGAGAATGTTTCCCACGCAGGGACCCGGCTGACCGGTGGCCATCCAGGCTTTCTCCTCGACTGTGAGCTGCGATACCCAGTTCTTGGCTTGAACCAGGGCCTTTTCCCAGCCACCCTTGCCCTTAGTTTCGGCTATGACGAGGTCAGCGGTACGCTCATGGCTCCTCATGAGGACATGGTGGACTTACGAGAAGGGAATACCGGTGGGGAGCTGCCATAGGGAGTAAGGATAGAGGTATTGAGAGGCTGGACGTAGCTGTTTGGCTCGCCTACATGGTTGATAGGTTCCTGGCAAGTGCTGGCACCCACGGATGGAGCCAGCAGCAGGCCAGACAAAAGCAGGGCATGGTCGGCTGGGACCTTCATGGCGTTGTATGAGCCGGGCTTGTCAAGTTGCTGGCTGTGAGCACCTATCCTTCATCTTCTACCGCCGACAATTGCACCCTTATATACCTAGATACATACACACCCTGGCTGGTCGCGGTGCATTCCCGGGTTTTGCTGGAGTGGAGAATGCGGAGGCCCGCAATACCGGGTTGGATGAGGGCTAGAAAGCCGGGGTCGGCCTCGTGCCGAGCTGGGACTCCACAACCGAGAAGCAATGCCAATCGCGAGGGTTTTGACGGCCCGTTTCTGCCCAGTCGGGGGATAATGACTTCGTTTGCTTTACTCCATCGGTCACCTTTGGCGTCAGCCGAAGTTTTGCCGATGGAGGGAAAGAAAATGACGCTCAGGCAGTTAATGGTGCCACTCGTGGTGATGAGGATCCTCTCATTCTCTTCCTCGTGGGATCTAGTAGCCCCAGTTGTCGGAGGAACCCCGTGGGTAATGACGTAGGGTGAATGCATTCTGTACGAGTCGGGTAGCCTGGCATGACTCTCCAATACAGTGATGTCTCTCGATCTCACCGGCTTGTCTTTGGATGCCAATGCGGTCCGACCCCGCTAGGGCTTGGCAGGCACCCCCACGATGAGCCCGGCAAATACCCGTCTGCTGTTCCGAAGAATCCGAAAGGGATGATGGTAGGAAGGTTCCCGTGAGAATGGAAGAATCTACGTGAGGAATGCAAAGGAGGTAGATGAGCAGTATGTAGTAAAACTGTCTAACGAGCCGCACAACTGGTGCTGTCAACCCCAGATTTTGCATCCCCAAAGTCACGTGGGAATATGCATGATGCACGAGATTTTAATTTGGGGGAAACGTTGGGGGTGAAGATGAGGGGAAGGAAAACCCTGCCCCAAGTCACCAACAGACTATGCGTCATCATTCTACAGTATTAGTAATTCTCTACTAAAGCCTACAGCCGGATGTTAGTGCGTAATTAGTGAGCGAGAATGCAAGGAAGAGGAGTCGGAATGCAGTCCGGAGTTGGGCTTGATGCCCGATCAGGAAGGCAGAATGGCAAAGGCCCGAGGTTTCCCCGGTCACTCTTCGGCCTGCCTTCACAGAATATTAAGCAGGAACAGCCCTGTGGTCAGACATGCTGAGAGTCGGGAATCCTGGGAGAACTTACCAAGTAGGTATGCCGAATGCTTGTGCTTGGACTTTCACTATGGGGCCGACGGAGGGGAAGAGGCTTGGCGATTGGATCTCCGGCATCTTAATATGGGCTTGATAATCATTAACCTACAAGATTCTCTAGTCAAGATGGCCATCCTATTAGCTTCCTCACGCATCCACCTCCTACCTTTCACTTCCCAGTAAAGGCGTGATCAATGGAGTCGAATGGAGGATTCTGTGGGGGCGGCGCTAACTAATGGATGGGAAGTTGAAGAACAAACAATATTCGGACAGGCAAAGATCCGCTGTTCTGTGGCCTCGTCGGAATAGAACGACTGAGCAACCGGTTGTAAGAGAATATCCAATTCCGGCGCATGCATGAGAAACATTTCTTCGTTCGGATCACCAGCGAGAGCCGGGCCGGATACGATTACAATGCGCCCGCCGTGGCTGAGGACAAAGTCAGTGGATCCATCTGTAAGCTGTCTTGGGTCGGGGAGCCAGGACCACATCTTGGATCATCTAGCTTCCATCTTCGATTCTTTTTACTGGCGTGCTGTATTTGTTTTCTTGAGAGTTTGCATAGCATATTTGACCCATGGTCAGTAGCGCAGTGATGCGTCGATATTTGGATTTAAGGTTGCCATTATTAAACACGCCTGCCGCAAACAGCAGCGATCTATTCACAACACGCATGGTTTCCATCTACAATCATGCTTTGCTTTTCTTCATTGTGTGCCCTGACCTTCGGGTATGGAAACTGGAGCTGCCGACCGTAGGATGGCGATGAAAAGCCATTCAGGCAATCCGCTCTTCAAATGTGGATATGAACGGACCACTGCTGGAAGCCGATACAAGAACGGATTTTCCGGCTACCCTATGCCACAGCTTTCTATCTCACCGTAGCTGATGCAGCGTCAGCTTTTCGTCCCGAACAGTCTTGTGATCTTTTACTAGAGTAATGTATCTGTAGAGCAACTCATGCAGGAGGCATCATATTTGGAATTAACTTCCTCACTATACCACTAAAGGGGAGGATACATGTCAAGAACAAAGTAGTCTCTAAATGGGCCTCCACAGCTAAATGCATCGAAAGTCGACGGAGAGATAAGAGAGGCACTGCCTGTCATTTCCGCGATCTTCCATTCAATTGGCATTGTCACAACTTACCGGGCGACTCCCACCCATGGGTCGTCAAACTCTACCACCGCCATCCTGGTTATGGACACACCCAGCAGAGTTCATGAGGTATCAATGACCTCACGTCTGCACGCAAAGAGCCAGTCGATACCCAACCGAAGCGATTATGAAGGAAGCCAGGTAATACCGGACCCAGTCTAGGACGCGTTCTCGACGTCGAAGGCCAAAAGCAATGAATTATAAGAGCAAAGAGCTATCCAGACAGTCGAAAACCCCAAATCTTAACATATCTTTTTGATCAATTATTAGTATCTCTTGCTCCAAGATGACTAAAGGTCTGGTGAGTAGGATTATCTTTGCTGTGGCACGGATTCATGCTAACAAGAATGGGGCACTGGAGACTTTCGATATCCGCTACGACAACGAGCTTGCCCATCAATACTACGGAGAAGGGGACCAGCTCACTCAAAGGTAAGATGAATATTTCAGTGGTCCAATTCGCCGGCCAAAGAAGAGCTAACTATGGCCCTATAGGCTCCAAGACGTCTATAAGGACAAAAACCTGGAGTTCCCCCATTATTTCGATTCCACGCTGACCACCCCACCGATTCACTTTATGACGTGCGTCACATGACGCTTTTTCTTGCTAAAGTATAGCTAATGGTAGCAGGGTCGAGGCGCCTGACGATGTAGATGTGGACGGACTGAGGAATGTGCATGTCCCTCCAGGCTTGAATGTCGAGATTCTCGACTTCGATTGAAATTTCTAGTAAATAGTTGGGAGGACAAAGAAAATGGAAGCACGGCAGTGTACGTAGCATTCAAAGAATCAAATCTGTACAGATAGGGGACAGAGAACTCCAGTAGATATTTTGGGTGTCAGCTTCACTCTGGCTTTTCAGCTTAGCGCCGGTGATCGGGCCGAGCGAATGGCAACAATTTCCCCCGCCATTTCTGACCGACGCTTCAAGTTCCTCCCCATTTATTGCATCAACCCATCCCAGGAGACCTTTTCCTCACTCCCTTAGATGCCTACCGCCTCATCGCCGGCATTGGGACCCTCGCCCCCGGTATCCAAGCGACGTAAACCCCGCAAGGGCACCTTCTCGTGCTGGGAGTGCAAACATCGAAAGCGACGCTGCGAGTTCGAGCCCCTTAAGGGCTCCACTTGTCTTTATTGCCAGTCGCGAGGCATTCCCTGCATCAGCCAGGAACATGCCGATCCACGAAGCCGCAGTAGCCACGGCCAACTATCGGAGCGGATTTGCCACGTTGAATCCCTGGTCAACCAGTTGATTCGGCAGCGTGACAGCTGTCAGCCTCAGGTCCAGCCACCGGCTCAGGGTCGCGACCGAAGGAGTTCTCCCCGGCCGAAAGAAGCCTTGATACCATCGCCCGTTCACCAGCTGTGCAGATCCCTCGCGGCTTTACTGCCTCATCCGAATACGGCGGCGCTCATTTTGACCAAGGGTCGATTCTTCAGTCTTCCTTTCCAGACTTGCCGGTCCCCAGTCCGAGATCAATCGGCTGTCTTCTCTGGTCTAGAACAGTCTGAAGATGTTTCCCGGCTACCATTGTCTACGTCCCATCCGATCCAGTATGCTCAGAAACTCATAGAGCTCGCCCTCGGCTTACAGCAGCTGGATCTCACGTCATTTCCACGCCCACAACTGCAGCTGCAGCTGCAGCTAAATCATTCCACTGACCACTCTTCCCGACGTTATCTCGATCTAGCAGCTCGCCACGTAACGTCGCAAGACACACTCGTAGATTCCCTGGATGGTCTTGATGCTCTGTTACTGGAAGCCCGTTATTACATCAATACCGGGGAGCTGCATTCAGCTTGGCTGATCTTTCGCCGTGCTCTGAGCATTGCCCAACTGATTGGACTTCCTAGGAAAAGTGACGAAGCAGAGAGCCGCGCGGAATCGCTCTGGATTCAGCTCATATATAATGATAGATTTCTGTCGCTAATGCTAGGTCTTTCATGTGAGGTGAAAAACATTGAGCTCCTGGATAGGGAGACGTTGAATAAATACTCACCTCTTAGAAAGTTATATCGCATCCATGCTGTCATCGCAGGTCGCATAATCGTCCGGAATGTGCATATGCAGCATTGCGATCGGCTATCTCAGAGCACATACGATCATTACACAGTGACATGCAGCATAGATGATGAACTAAGAAAGGAAACCCGATCAGTGCCTATAGATTGCTGGAAAGTCCCCACACTAGAAAGTACGTTGTCGGATACCGACAAGATGGACAGAGTCTCTATGCTCATCACCCAAATGCACCAATATTACCTCGTGATTCTCCTTCACCAACCGTACTTGCTCCTGCAACTCAGGAACCATACAGAATTCAACCTTTCAGCATTTACATGTATTCTACCAGAATATTCATACAGCATACAAGTGGTCGTCCCTGCAAGCCGTGAAGTACTGAGTCGCTGTCTCGAATTCCGGAATATACGACCCATCCTTTCCTATCGTGGGCTTGAGCATAAAGCTTTCATCTCCGCAGTGACACTGCTCTTATCCCATATCTTGGGACACCGATCGGGATCTAAGAACGTCTTGGAACATCAACGCCCTCAAGACCTGGCCATGATACAACAGGCTATTGACACCTTAGCCGAAGTCTGCACATTGGATGGCCCAAATAGAGATTCTGCAATCAAGACAAGAAGTCGGTTAAGCAGACTCCTAAATATTGAGGCGGAGGCAGCCGATGGCATCAATTACATTGCATGCATCGAACGGGACAATGTTGGCCCGGATGATGCTCTATGTCATACCCCCCATCAAGGCCTGAGGTTTCCCATTCCATACTTTGGAGTCATCTGCATACTTCCCGAGCCAGTCCCAGATCTGCAATTAGATGGCCTACTTTCGAGATCTGCACAGGCAACAGGACCAGACACTGCGCAACTTGGGCCATGCCTTGACTCACAAGGACTTCCTTCGACCGTTACAGAATGGGACGTTGGTCGTGGCCTACATCCCCACCTTTCTTTCTTGTCCGATAAACAATTAGAGCTGCAATCGCTTTTTGACTGGACAGGTGACCCGAACACCCTCTACGATGGCTAAGCCACTTAGCTACGTTTGACATTCATCATGAACATGAGGTGGATATCGAACAACTGTATATACACTGTCTCCTAGCACAGCATGACAAGCTATCTATCCAGTATCTTCCACCAATACACAGCAAGAAACACCCTTTCACAGTGGTGGGGTATCGGCAAAGTCAAAGCCAGTCAAGGCCTGAAAGCGCACACCCACAACACTTTGTGCGATCCGCCGGATTGTCTGTTCTTCTTCCTCCGACAACTGGAAAGACACACTGGCCAAGTTCTCCTCCAATCGATGAATTTTGCTTGTTCCCGGAATTGCAAAGATGTCGTCACCCTGGGTGAACAGCCACGCCAGCGCCAGTTGTGCCGTGGTCATACCCTTTCCTTGCGCGATCTCAGCCAGCTGGTCCACCACAGCAACATTCTTCTCGATATTCCCCTTCCTGAGCCAGGGAAGCACACCTCGTACATCTCCGGGCTTACTGACGTCCTCCCGCGACCGAATTGTTCCGCTAAGGAATCCGTTGCCGAGCGGGCTATACGCCACGATAGCCACACCGAGCTCGCGCGCAGTAAGCAATAATTGCACCTTCCGGGACTCGATATCAGTGCAGAAGACGCTATACTCTACCTGTACACACGAGATGGGATGCACAGCATGGGCTCGACGGAGCGAGTCGGCACTGCACTCGCTCAAGCCAATATATTTGATCTTCCCCTCTTGCTTGAGCGCAACCATGGCTTCGATGGTCTTCTCAATAGGGGTGAGTTTGTCTAGGCGATGGACGTAGTACAGGTCCACATATGGCAATCCGAGGCGCTTCAATGACTTCTCAATCGCAGTCCGACAGTACTCGGGACTGGAATCCATCCAATTCTTCATGCCGTCTTTAGCATTCGGATTGGTGCAGATGCCGAACTTGGTGGCTAGAAAAACATCCTTCCGTTTATCAGGGTTCTGAGCGAACCATTTGCCTAGAACGGTTTCGGAATCGTCATATTTATCCGCTATGGCTGTCAGAGTCTGCGTGCTTTATAGAATCTTTGAATGGGTACATACCGGTATCCCAGAATGTCTCACCCCTTTGGTATGCCTCGTCCAGGAACCTCAGATGCTCAGCTTCTGGGAGAGGTTGACCATAAGTACCACTAGCACCCATGAGTCCAAGGCCGATTCGCGGAATGAGCGGGCCGTTTTTGCCCAGAGAGCGAGCAGGGAGTTGGTTGAAACCAGTCATTGCGCAGTAATGAGGATAACTAGCAGACTCTTATCTATTGGAGATGTCAGGCCTAACAACATGTCAATTCAGCGCTTTTATGCCTTTACAATGCCGGACTTTGCGGCGGAACTGACTGCCTCTCACCGTGGCATACTACGTCCTTGATGCCTGAGGCCTAAATTCTCAACGGTTCCGCCGCTTAATTCCGCCGCTAACTCCGCCGTCGCCGATCGCCGTCGCCGATCGCCATCAACCCGAGGCCTTGTTTTGTTGCAGCTCACAGCTGGACAGTCGGCCAGAAGGCCATTACTGCCTTCGCATAGCCACAAGCTCTTTGATGGTTTGAGCATATGTCATTATGGAAAATGGTATAAGGTCTACTTTCAGGCGTCGTCTTTTCCGAATAGCTTTCATCTTTGGCCTGGCTTTACCGAGCCCAGACATCTACGGAGTACGACCGATACTAGACCAGGAGAGCAGGAACGCTGTTGTCTAACATTCTCCTAGTCCGGGCGTCTCTCCTTAGGTTGTACCTAGGATACACTGCGCCTGAGACAACCGGGGGTTCCGGATACGGATGTGGTGAGGTCATCCCGGACACAGAGTTTCAGTGCAACCACCGTCCCTCATATAAGTCGACGGCCACGTCGCCCTCGTTTTCAGACAGGAAGGGCGCCCCAATAATAGCGACATTAATCCAACTTCGTTCTTGATAGTGTCAACCCCTGAGACGCAGCCAGAATGGTCCACCTGTCGACCGTCCGTAAAGAGTCCCAGGCCCATCAGCGTCAGCGCGAAGAACGCGATGCGCAGGCAGCCGCGGTGTCACCTTACGTGTACGGGACGCGCTATGCAGTCGAAGAGCTGCCCGAGCATAGCATGTCGGAGCATGAAATGCCAGCCCCGGTGGCATATCGCATGATCAAAGATGAGTTGAGTTTGGATGGGAATCCCCTGCTCAAGTATTACCTCGCTTCTCTTTCTGCTCTTTGAACCATCGAAAGTAACATGTTCCAGTTTAGCCAGCTTTGTCACTACCTATATGGTAAGATGATCATGGGGTAGCAAGTACAATGCTCTCGCTAACTCTATCCCAGGAAGATGAGGTGCAGCAGCTCATGTCTGACGCCATGAGCAAGAACTTCATCGACTACGAACAGTATCCACAGACTGCACATATCCAGAACCGCTGTGTCAATATGATCGCCGGTCTGTTCCATGCACCTAGCCTCAATGACCCAAGCAACGAGCAAGACGCCATCGGCACCTCGACGGTCGGATCCTCAGAAGCGATCATGCTGGCCATGCTGGCCATGAAGAAGCGCTGGCAGAACAAGCGGAAAGAAGCTGGGAAGGACTGGTCACGCCCGAACATTATCATGAACAGTGCAGTACAAGTGTGCTGGGAGAAAGCCGCGCGGTATTTCGAGGTCGAGGAGAGATATGTCTATTGCACGGAGACCCGATATGTTATTGATCCCAAGGAGGCGGTGGATCTGGTGGACGAAAACACGGTGGGAATCTGTGCCATTCTAG